GCCCTTTGCAACATTTTTTAAATCTGTGCACTCTCTGTTGAGGGTAAAGGGTCCCAGACATCTCCCTGAGGGGAGGGGAAATTCTTTGCATTCCTTCCTGATGAATCTCTCTCTCTCTCTCTCTCTCTCTCTCTCTCTCACACACACACACACACACACACACACACACACACACACGCCCTGTCTCGGTTTCTCAGCGGCTCTTTGGTGGGATAACCTGTTATACAGGCTGAAGTCCTCAAGTCATCCCAGTCATGAGCTCTGTTACTTACTCACTGGGTACATTCAGGCTGACAGGAAACCTTTCCTGGGTCTCAGTTTCCTTTTCTGTTAAGTGGGAATAGTGATACCTACTGTGCAAGGTCTTTAGGCTTAATGAGAGAATATGAGAAGCATCTAATACAGGAGGTCCTAAGGATGGGATAAGTATGATGAACTAACCATTTTCTTTTCTTTTTTTTACTTTCTGTGTTCCCTGGTCAATGCACAAGGTTGACTATCAGGCTGGTTTGTAACTATGCAACAGAAAATATTGAACTAACTTGGTGTACCTGCATGCAATGGTAGGTGCATACACAGGCTTCCAGTGGCAAAAGCAGGAGAAAACATTTATTGTTTCATATGTCAAAAACACTGTCCAGGTGTTGCACTTTTATTTCTCACAACAACACTGTGAGTAGTATTGCCCTAATTTTGAGGAACATGAAGCTTGGAGAAGTTAAGTCTCAAAGCTAGTAAGTGCAGAGCTGAGAGTTGATGTTCTCTTTGTGTGTTGGAGGCTCATGGCCTGTGGTAGGCAGAATTGTGAGAAGGCCCCCAAGATTCCCACTCCTCTGATGTCCACAGTCTATGTAACCCTCTCCTCCTGAGTGTGGTTGGGACCTGTCAATATGATGGGATAGGCATTCTGGTGATTACATCATGGTGTCGAAGACTCCGTCTTGGCAGAAGTCAGGGAGAGTCCCTGCTAACTTTGAAGGAGTAAGTAAACTGTGGTGTTGTGAGGCTGTGCAGTCTCCAGGAGCTGAGAGTGACCCCTGGTCAACAGTTGGGAAGAAACAGGGACCTCAGTCCTACAACCTCCAGTTACTAAGTCCTGCCAACAATCTGCATGAGCTAGAAGAGGATGCTGAGCTCCAGATGAGAACCACAGCATGGCCCACACCTTGACTTCAGCCTTATGAGACACTAAGTGGAAAAACCCAGATTTGCCATGTGAGGACTCTGATCTACAGAAACTGATGTAGCAAATAGGTGTTGTTTTAAGCTGCCAAACTTGTGGAAATTTGTTATAGAGCAACAGAAAACTAATACATACTCTGTCTACTAGGTTCTTCTGGACCTATAGTCAGGAGATAGGAGCATCAGATTTTATATGCTGCTCCATCATCTATTGGCCCAGAGAGTGGGGTCCATTCATTTTTAAAGAGAAGTCAATAATATTATACTTGTGTTTTTTACTTGACAGAGTAGTTGTGAAACATATCTGAAATGGTGGGACATGAATGTTCTTTGTCAGATTAAAGTGCTATCCGAAGGTAAGATTCAAAATGTTTAACAACCAGTTCAGTGTAGAAGGCAACAAATCAGAAAGGATGATGGCCATAAGCAATATGGTTACACTGGTGCATGCTGGGAAATATTCTCTGTAGAGCAGATGTAAAGGTATTTCTAGGTTTGAAGGTCAAGGTGTGGGAGCCCAGAACAGTGTCAGGCAGGAGGGAGGTCAAGCTCATAAAGGAGGCACCTCCATTCAGAAACTCTCTGGTTCTGTATATCTCATAGTTTGTTTTTAAAATATATTTTATTGAATTTTTACAGAGAGGAAGGGAGAGGGATAGAGAGTTAGAAACATCGATGAGAGAGAAACATTGATCAGCTGCCTCCTGAACACTCCCCACTGGGGATGTGCCTGCAATCAAGGTACATGCCCTTGACCGGAATCGAACCCAGGACCCTTGAGTCCGCAGACCAATGGTCTGTCCACTGAGCCAAACCGGTTAGGGCTCTCATAGTTTTTCTTTTGCAATATTCTCTTTAAAGTCTCTCTTATATTTTCAACAACCATCATGTCAACATTTTCTTTCTAAAACATTTTTCTAAAACATTCTTTCTAAAATTTGTGACAAAGACATGCCTTTTTAGAGAGTGAGCATTCCTTGCCCTCTCCTCACTTCTGAGAAATAACAGCGTTGTTAGCTCTTCCACAAGATGGAAAAATTATCTAATGCTCAAATGTATGCTATTGAATGAGAAATGAGAGGTTGTTTCTTTTACAGTGTCATTCACATTTATTCAATTTGACTGTATAGATGCAAATTTTGACCTTCAAGTTTTACCTTTTTCCTATAGATATGTTACTTTTTTCCCTGCAGGTCTTTTTTCCTGGACTCAAGCTTCCCAAAGTATCTCAGTTGCTTTAGTGGTCTAATTGTGTAGTGACATATTTAAAAGTCATTATTTTTTGCCATCTATTAAATGTAGCCTAAAACAGTTTAAAAAATTGGGTGAGGCATTTTTGCAAAAGCATTTATAATGTGGGCTGCCAAGGAATGTGCAGCTGCAGGAGCTTCTTTCTCTAATCTCAGACTTTTACTTGAAAATGTATTGAGGGTGGGTACCTGTGAAGAGAAACCAATTTGATCTCTCAGGAACTACAGGTATTAGAGAGAGAAACACACTTTGTTTGAACATGCTGACTCTATTGATCCTGTGAAGTGTTAGCACTTATAAGGTGGCTCTTTTATATTGAAACTAGAAGCCCAGTGCATGAATTCATGCACGGGTGGGGTCTGGCTGGCCCAGCCCCAATCAAGGCAGATCAGGGCTGGGCTTGTCAGGAGGAGATAGCAGGAGGTTGGCCAGCTGGCCCCATCAGGGCCAGGCCAGCTTGGGGTAGGGGCTGTGGGCTATTGGCTGGCAGGCCCCACCCCTGATTTGGGCTGGGGGGCCAATTAGGGGTGGTGATGGCCATGGGGAGGGGCTGTGGGTGGTGCCGACCAGGGGCCAGTGCCCTGGGGGAGGGGCCATGGGTGGTTGGCCAGCTGGCCCTGCCCCTGATCAGGGTGGGGATGCTGATCTGAGGTGGGGCTGGGCAGGGGGAGGGGCTGCAGGCCAATCAGGGTGGTGGTGGCCCATCAGGGGAGGGGCCAGCAAGGGGGAAGGGCTGCAGGAGGTTGGCTGGCAGGCCCCACCCCTTATTGGGGTCTGGGGGGGTGATCAGGGGTGGACTGTCCAGGAGGAGGGGCTGCAGGCCAATCAGGGCGCTGGGGGCACATAGGGAGTAGAGATGGCCAGGGGGAAGGGCTGAAGGAGGTTGGCCACTGAGCCCCACCCCCTATTAGGGTGGGGGGATGACCAGGGGTGGGGCCAATCTGAGGGAGGTCCTGTGGGCCTATCATGGTGGGGCGGGCTGATGGAGGGTGGACCGGCCAGAGGGAGGGGCCACAGGAGGTTGGCCACCTGGCCCCACCCAGTGATCAGGTCAGTTCTCTGGCCACAATGGGCATCATAGTGACCAGTTATTAGTTGTTCCGGTCATTACGGATGCTGGCTTTTTATATATATAGACTAGAGGCCTGTTGCAGGAAGATTCCTGCAAGAATAGGGCTTCCTGAGGCCGAAGCGAAGCAGAGAAGGGAGCGAAGCCTGCCGAGGCGGGCTTCCCTCCCATCTCCGCCACCTTGCCTCCCTCCCCTCTCTGCTGCCTTGCTCCCTCCCGTGTCCGCTGCCTCGGCTCCGTTCCCTTCTCCACTGCTTCGCTCCCTTCTGCAGTGCTTGGCTTCCTTCTATGCTGTCTTCAGTCTTCGCTCCGTGCCTGTGTATGCAAATTAACCGCCATCTTTGTTGGGTTAATTTGCATATCACTCTGATTGGCTGGTGAGCATAGCAGAGGGATGGTCAATTTGCATGTTTCTCTTTTATTAGTGTAGATATACTGCCTTACCTTGGACTGCCCCTGCTCTCTTGCTAGTTCTTAACATCTTTGAAGAGTGTATCCTAAGCAGTGGTGTATTGGTAAGTGTTAAACAACAAGATGGGGAGAGGGGTGGCACCTGATATATTACATTTGCCAGTTTCCTTGGTGTAAATATTCTCACCATAGTTGATTTCAAACTACCAAAGTGCAGTCAATGAATGCAGAGTTGGGAAGAAATGTGTCATGGCACAACATCATGTAATATTTTTATCACATAGATACAGTAGACAAGTAATCTCAAGAGCAGAGATAATAATAAAATGAAGTTAAAAATTTAGGAAGTGATGATGAATACTTGTTACCTTTTAAATATATATATATAATTTATTTAATTGTAAGTTTATATCATTTAAAATTTTAATAATGGCCATGTTAAACAACCAGCTTCCTTTAATGAAATCATTGGAAACATTAGTGTGGTATTTGTGATTTTACTCCCCTTTATTATTCATATTGGATTTAGATCCTAGAATAACATTTATATGTACATCTGTATATGTGTGTGTGCACCCATGGTTTAGGGGGGAAAAACTGGTGTCATTCTGCATTAGTTTTGGTGGAGTTAGCAAAGCATAAAAATATGAGGTGCTAGACCACCCATGTGGGACTTACAAAGTGGTGACTCCAAGTTGGCTCTGCCTGCATCGCTTCCTTCTAGTTGAGCTGGAAAAAGCAGGGAATTTCTTTGGGAAATATTGTGAATTGTACTTGAACAAAAATAACAAGGACTTCAAGGGGACATCTCCGAGGACTTATAAATACTCCCTGGAGTTTACAATTATAAGGACTCGTGTCTGACACCCACTAAGAACTGTAAGTGGACTTCCTGGCTGCCATGTGCTCACAGGCTCCTGCAGCGCCCAGCGGCTCCCTCAGCACCCCATTAGCAGGCAGTTTTGTAGTGGGGTGTGCCTGGTGAGACACCCATGAGCAGCTCTGGTGGCATCCTCCAGGGCCGATTTCTGGTGGCCTGCCTTTGCCAAACACCCGTCAGAAGAGCCCTCCCAGCCCTTCCTCGGCCATGACCCAGCAAACCGTCGTCATCGACCACGGGTCTGGCTACATGAAGCCCGGCTTCTCCGGCTGGAACGAGCCGCAGCTGGTCTTGCCGATCATCGTGGACTACAGGCCTTGTAGGGAGAACCCCGGCCCCAGCTCCGCCTGGCGGCGCTTGGGTCTGGGCATTGACCTTCTCCACCCTGACACCTTTAGCTACCCCATCCAGCGGGGCCGTGTCCTCAACTGGGAGGGCGTGGAGCAGATCTGGTCCTTTGTCCTGCAGAAGCACAGGCTGATACACGAGGACACCCCCGTATTGGTCACAGAGTCTCCCCTGAAGGATCCTGAAAGAAGACCCTGGAGATTATGTTTGAGTTACTGGATGTCCCGGCCCTCCTCCTGGCCGACCAGCTGGAGATGTCCCTGTACGCCACGGGCTTCCTGACGGGCATGGTGGTCGATTCCGGCTGCGGCCTGACCCGAGTCCAGCCTTTCCACTTGGACGGTCCCATATGGCCCACCGGGAAGATGCTGGAGTTCAGCGGCCGGGATCTCTCCGACTATCTCGTCAAGAGCCTCTTCAAGGAAGACAGCAAGGTGAACAAGCTGTTTCAGCTGGAAAGAGTTGATGCCATTAAGATGACCAAATGCTACGTGCCGCAGAATCTGGTGGAGGCGCTGGACTACCGCCAGAACCTGCCCAGTGGCTACGATGATAGTAACACCTACGTGCTCCCGGACGGCACCTCCGTGGAGCTGACCCCCATGCAGCGGCTGGCCCCCGAGATGTTCTTCAGCCCGCAGGTGTTCGACCAGGAGAGGCCCAGCATCTCCCAGGCTGTGCTGGATCCCATCAACGCCTGCGACACCGCCCTGCAGCCCCAGCTCATGTCTCACGTGATCGCCTGTGGGGGGAACACCCTCTACCCGGGCTTCACCCTGCGCCTGTTCCTGGAGTTGGCCCCGCATTATCCCTCCTGCACGGATGCCTCCGTGTGGAGTCATAGCAAGAGAAACTTTAGCGTCTGGCTGGGAGCGTCTATTGTGGCTCATCTGTCTACTTACAAGTCTGAGTGGATGACCAGGAAGGAGTATGATGAGAAATAGGAGCTGTGGCCTGTTGGCTTGCGGGGGGGGGGTGGGGGGGGGGGTGGGGGGGGGTGGTGGTGGTGGTGGTGACCCGGCTTTCATCAGATGGGCACTGGTGGATTAATTTCAGTGAAAGGGACTGGGCCCGGGTGGGGTTAGCTGGCATTGGAATTCTGAGCTCATGGGGGATGTTTTAAAGTTCTGGGGTTTTATCTTGTTTCAAAAATGGGATCCAACCCATGGGAGGACAGGGTGTCATCCTGCAAAGCCCCCCGGGGGCAGTTTCTCCAGGGGTGGGCTGTTACTAGGATGGAAGTGGCCAGCTGCCATCTCCATGATAGCCACTTATTGTTCACTGGCGTCTCCCTGGGTTGTCCATTCTTTTAGTTGAGTAGGTTTTAACTGGGGCAAGAGAGAAGTATTTTGTAGTGGGGGTGGGGGGGGAGGGGGAGGCTGGGGAGAGTTGAAGTTTCTAACCCTCCACACTCTGGCCAGGAGGAGTGAGTGCCCTTCCCCCCGTGCCCTGGGTCTTGTTTTATAAATGCAAATAAACCACTTGTTTGGAACCAAAAAAAAAAAAAAATCAAAACTGTAAGTGTAAAGTCTGTCGCTGTGGTGATACGGCTTTGTCTTGTCGCAGAGTAAGGAGGGCTGCAATGGGACAAACTTTACTTCCACTGATGGTGGGAAAAGGTGTTTCTTGGAGCTCAGATGTAGACCCAAAAAGAGCCATCCTGGGGTTACCTGAGAAGGGATCTTACCCAATAAGCCAAGTGACTACCTGGAAAGACAATGTGACTCTAACAGAGGAGTAGGTGCCCAAAAGGCTTCCGAGGGGACAGTGTTAATCAGACAGCTGACTAGGTCAAGGTGTTGGCAGCCGGAGGTCCCTAGATTACTGAGGCGCCAGCAATAGCCTTGCCTGAGAGAAAGAATTAGCTTTGAGCATCTGCCTTCTCTGGGCCACCAATGCCATGCCAAAGCTCTTTCTTTCATTTTCTCTATCCCTTGATCCAACCTTTCAAGGATTAGAAACAACAGTGAGAGGGAAGAGGGGAGAAGGTGAGTGGGGAAGGGGGATAAAAAGCGATATCCAGGTCCAACTAAAGCCCAAATGGAAAGCTTTAAATTGGATAAAAATGATTATTATAGTGGACTGGACTATAGTCATGTGATTTTTTAAAAAATCACTTTAAATGCCAAAACAAAGGTACTCTTAATTTATTACCCAAGAGCAATGGAAAAAGCTACACAATATTTCATCTGGGGTAAGAGAAGGAGCGGATCCAGAAATTAAATTTGAAGAGCAGAAGTTTGTTTCTCCTTATAGCCTATGAATATGAAATTAGTTAACCAATCACAACTATATTTTTGAAGATTTTGTGAATACATTAAGATCTTTAACACTCTAACCAATTGCTACTTAAAACAATGATGAAGTTAAGTCACATTTGCCAGCATGTGATGGCGTTTTGAGGACAAATGACAATGAAAACTTAGAATAAATTATAGAATTAAATATTAAAGTACTCCGCAAAGAATTGGGTACAAAACTTGTTGTCATTCTCAATTGGTAAACCTTGGTCTTCAAAAGGTAATAGGAGAAGATAAGCTGACTTGTAAAAGTCAGGGTGAATATCATTTTCCATAGGCTGCCTAAACTCAAACACAATAGAGAGTTAAAAAGTAAAAATAAAAATACGTAATTATTTTTTATTACAGAACACAAAACAACTGATTTCTTCTGAATTGCCTCAGTTACTTTTTGCTTGGACTGTATAGAATACATAGCCACAAAATTCTTACTGAAAGGAACTTCAACTTTTGCCTATGCAATTTCATGAATGTAAATGTAACTGTAGAGTAGAGGGGTTATTTATGGGGATGGGCTGGGAGCAAATATAAAAACTCCCAGGTTCTATGAAACAGACTTGTCTGTTTCACTCACTAGTAGGAAGCATATTTGCAATGACTAAACTCAGAAAATTATGTGAGGTTACTGGGTCAAGGGGCCACACACATTCTTCCCAGAAGAGGTATGCTACCACACTAAGCCTTTACCCAGACCATATTGTCTAAAGAAGGAAGCAGGTCAGTAGTCACAATGACAGAGCAGAAACAGCAAGGGGAAAAAGTGATATAACAGCATCATAAGGTCCCTTTCAATGGGCAAATATTGCACTCTTTGACCAGCATGCAAACTGAAATGCCTGCGGTGACTAGAAATATTGGAAAGAAAGAAGAAGAAACAGAAAAGAAGCAAGTTATGAGGGAAGACTACAGCAAAAATGCTAGGTAAGTAGCTATTGACACTCAGCTTCAGTGTCAGGGACCATGGGGGGAGAGGGAGAGTGTGGTAAACTGTTGCCCATCCTGCAGTCGGTCAGCCAGCCCTTGTGGACTGTGCCACGTGAGAAAGTGGATTCAGAAGTCAAAACATCCAATGCGCCAATTCTTAAAATGTTACCAACTAATTTTAAAAGTTGTAAACACTGTGTTGACCAAATAAAACATCAGTGGTCTATGATACATAGCATGTAGTACAATTTTTAAAATAATAATAGTAATAATTCAGTATTGTTGAGATTCTTTTATAGTGCTTAATAATGTCTGGAACTAAGCACTGCACACATCTTAATCTTTCAAATGCAAACCAATACAGTTGACCCTTGAACAACATGGGTCTGAACTACACAGGTCCATGTATACAAGATTGTTTTCAATAAATACTTATGCTGTTTTCTACCAGAGACTGGGAGTATGTGGATGCGGAGGACTGACTATAGCATTGATCTATACCATTTTATATAAGAGATTTGCGCATCCATGGATTTTGTTATTCGCAAAGTGGTACCAGAACCAACCCCTGTTGATCCTTAGGGACAACTTAAGTTTTGGAGGAGGCAAAAGTGAAATGCGGATTTTCCAACTGCCTGGGGCTCTGACCGGGACCCCAGGTTGTTCAAGAGTCAACTGTATATAGCAACACATTAACAACAAACAAGATCGAATGTAAATTTCATGGCTTTCTGTTTTCTTGTTCAGGAGCAGAAATAGTTGAATGTAAATAATTCTAAATACCTGTTATTGATTTCTCTTAATTATATCCTTCACCAAGGAGGAGGCTCCTGGAATGGAGACTAGGTCAACAGGGCCTTGCTACCCGGATAAGATGGATATAGACCAGGGGTGGGCAAACTTTTTGACTCGAGGGCCACAATGGGTTCTTAAACTGGACCAGAGGGCCGCAACAAAAGCATGGATGGAGTGTTTGTGTGAACTAATATAAATTCAAAGTAAACATCATTACATAAAAAGGTACGGTCTTTTTTTTTTTTTTTTTTTTTTTTTTTTTTTTTTTAGTTTTATTCATTTCAAACGGGCCAGATCTGGCCCGTGGGCCATAGTTTGCCCACGGCTGATATAGACACTAGTGAACATCAGACTTATTTATTAGCTGCCAGAGCCCTGCGCCTTTTGCTTCCTGCCAAATACTGCATTAGCTGTGAGAACTACATAGGGCTATGAGAATGATACAATCCACAATTTCCTAGTCTTTTCAATGCAACATTGCCATCTTGTTGTCTGAAGCAAAAATTCGAAAGGACCAAGTTCACCCTTTCAGAAAAGATCTACAAAGGCTACTCCACTGAAATACCAACATCTTCTGCCCGTGGTGACTGAAATGTCCCATTAGGCCACCTTTCCTTAAATTTTACGGATCTTAAGCTCTTTTTAAATAATAACAGTAAATTATTTTTGAAAATTCCTGGATTCTCTGAGATAGTAAGTAAACATTCACTTAAAATTACTGGAGGCAAGTTAGGTTGAGAGAGGAAAAGGTTGAAGAGATAAAGGTGCATAGGAGAAAGGGAAGGACAAAGTTTAAATGTATGTTTAAATGTTTGTTGACTGTTTCTGTAAGGTCCACTTAAATTTCATATTTTAAGAACTGAGGTCATTATGGATCAAAAAAATTAATAGGACCATTGCTTTTCTCTCTCTAAATGAAAATAGTTTTTTTAAATTTGTTTTTATTGATTTCAGAGAGAGGAAGGAGAGGAGAGACAGAAACCTTGATTGGCAGCCCTGGCCCATGTGGATGTGGCTCAGTTGGTTGAGTATCATCCCATGCACCAAAAGGTTGCTGGTCCCATTCACCATCAGGGCACATACCTAGGTTGCAGATTCAATCCCCAGCTGGGGTGCATGAGGGAGGCAACTGATCAATTTTTCTCTCTCACATCAATGTTTCTCTCTCTCTCTCTCTCTCTCTCTCTCTCTCTCTCTCTCTCTCTCTCTCTTTCCCTTTCTATTCTTCTCCATCTAAAAAAAATAACATTGATTGGCTGCCTCCTGTTTCAACAAACAATTTTACAACTCTTTAATTAAATGTATTTTTAAAGTACCTATAGAGATAGCATATAAAGGCAAAATTCCATTATGAAAGTTTTTGTGGCTTTCCCAAATCATTTCAGCATAGTGGAATTGGGTTATCATGGCTATAATAAAATCAACACTAGAAGAAATTCTTTTAGTGTGGAGGCCTTGGAGATGAAATAGACTTGATATCCAGTTTCTGGAGTGAACTAGCTAGCAAGTGTCTTGATCTCAGTAGGAAATATAGAGTTCAAACCTTCTTTCCCTTCCTAATATGTTGTATCCTTAGGATTCAATATTGTTTGATTTACTGTTTTGGGAGTGGGGAGAGGGCAGTTTCAGAGACTTCCACTTGGCCTTTTCCTGGACTCTTTGATAGCTCTGACCCCACAGGCCAATGCAGAAGTCAGCCAGCTGCCAAATATATCTATTTCAGTTACACATTTGGGTCCGGGGCAACGACCACTGGATGGGTCCACAGTCCCAGTGGGCTCACTGGTGGCCAGACATGGGCCAGGACTCCATTTATTATCTGGCCCCATGTGACCACGTGCTAACAAGGAGCAAATGTTTTGAGTCTCTGAGCCTCAGTGTCCCTTCTCCCTAGAAAAATGGCCATAGGTTTCTTTAGGGAAGAC